CAGATAGCCTTCGTGTAGCTTTGCGCAAAATTCAAGACAAACAAACCAAAATACCAATACTTATCTACTTAGTGGATATGAAGTTGTTCTATAGCTATTGAGGGTAGACATGCTAATATTTATTAGTAAAAGTCATTCTCCTTGCAATTAGTTTGAGTTGGTTCAGAATTGGCTAATTGGAACATTGATTTTTTCCATGAGTTTTTTGCATATATGTACAGTAGCACATTTAATTTATAGCTGTTGTTGTATAGTTCACAGTGTGTGGTGTTATTGCTACATATAAAAGCATCAGTTATATATTCTGTTTATGAATTAGTTCATATTCTGGTTAGTTCTCACTAAAATTTATCATTTTTTTATATATTTTTAGAAATTTATAATTTTCTTATTCTTTTATATAAATGGAAAAAGATACCTAAGTTGTTAGTATAGGAACCTTTGATTCATTCATTATGCTTGGAGTATCACAATGACCATGATCATATATTATGTGATTAGTATTTTACATTGTCTGATATACTTACTTTAATACTACCAGTATTGTTATAGATAAAATGTAGTGTAAAGGTAATAAGAATTAAACCTTCCATTCTTACAGCATGCTCTAGATGAACATCAGTTCGTATATGTTCATTCTTAGACTGAAAAGATAAAAACAATTAGAACTTCTTATTTTACTTTTCAGGATGGTTGATACTTTCAGCTATTGTCTCTTCGTAGGTTTCAGCAGATTACACTGCTGTCGTTACCTGTTGATATATGTAACTATATGAGATTGAGTTGTTAATAAAAAAAAAGATCATTCTAAAGTAGAACTCTGATGCATCTTGAGCACTCGACAATTATACTTGCTTTTCGTAAATAAACAAATATTCTGTTCCTTCAAAGATATTTGTATATCTTGATATGGTGGTTTTTGGCAGTAATTCTCTTAACCATAAAATTATCTACTTAATTGGTGAATCCCAGTATTACATCAACTTAACTGGTGGATCCCAGTATTACATCTACTTAACTGGTGGATCCTAGTATTACATAACATTGAGTAGTTTTATGTATCTATCAATGATGACACCCAGAACTAACAAAAAATCAAAATTGGGTGAAATCCCCTTTTTCTATGTAAAATACATGTGAAACCCCAATAATAATTAGTGATGATAATGTTTAATAGTGACCATCAGACAAACAAAGTAATGGCCCACATTGAGTAATTTGGTACATAAATAGTTTACAAAAATGGTTTAAAAAGCTTTTCCAAAAGAATGTCTCCTTGTCCATTTTTAAAATTATCTGCCCTTTTGGCTACTAGCACTTCTGTTCTACAGTATATACTCTCATTAAACTGAATAGAAAAGTTAATTGATTGTTTGGATTAAAATGAGCGACTTCCAGATATTAAGCTAAAATAAATACATGTATCTTTTAGCAAATACCGTAACTAAGCCCTTTAAAAATAAAAATACAATTTTCATTGGTTAAAAGCTCTGTTGTATTTGTACACAGTTAAAAAGATATAACTGTTAGCTACTTTCTAATTTGCAGATATCAACATGTCGCAGAAAAATATACAAGTACTTGTGAGTGGGAAGAAAACAGAATGATAGTCAAAGCATGTTATCATTGACCTGATTTTGGTGATTGGTTGTTTTGATGTAAATCTGATTTCATTTTTGATTTTACTGTGCGTGGATTTTTACCCACACTTACTGAAGGAACAAGAGCATTGTTTATCTATCAGTCCTTTATATACATGTATTTTCTTAAGACGTACATATTAGGTATGTCTAGACAGCTGTTTGGTACATATATAAAAAAACATTATGTTGACTTGTGCTGGATAAGTGGTTGTTTTGGTGAAACTCAAGTTTATTGCAATTGTTATTTTAATACATAGGAATTTGTGCATATATATATATAGTGGGGAACAAAATATTACTGTTTGATACTTTTTTTGAATCTGTAGCTATGTGTATTTTATTTTTCCATAACAAGTACATACATATATAGTGATTTTTGATGTTTAGCTATGTATATTTTCATACCATTTCATACTGTATTTAAATTGGCTGTGTAGCCTTTCGTTCATTTTTAAATGTTTTATGCAAGATAAATCTAATATAGTGTACAGTATTAAAGTTAACATTTGTGGTCTGCTTAAGTTGTTTTGGCTGTTGTAGACTGTTCTTTTATTCTGAAAGTATTTGTACATTCAAAATACAATCTTACTCTGAGTATTAAAAATTAACTAAAAATAAAAGTTTTAGCAGAATGTGTAATATGTCTTGAAAATTGAAGATCATTTAATTATTGGATGTACAGATTTTAAATACAGCATTTTGAATTGAGAAATAGTCAAGGTTTTATTAAAACAACCAAAAAGAAGCCAAGAAAGTTACATGTATTGTTAAAATGTTAAGACAGATTAGAAGAGTGTCTTGCCATAAAAATGTTCGTGTGAAATTAAATGAATTTTGTGCTAATCTTAACTGCAAAAAATTGTGATAGATATTTGTAACAATGGTTTTAAAAAAAACTGCACTGTACCCTCATCCAAAGGTATGCAGCTGAAGTTCAAAATAGTTTTTATTTTACTGTTGTTTTTACTGATGAGGTGGGGTAAAAGATTTGTAAGGTGATAAATTTTGTTGAAAATAGGTTCAGTTTATGTTGAAGAAGAACTGTTTTAGATGGGCTTGGTAAACTTCTGGAGAGTTTCTTGACACTGATGTTTTGTAGATTGTTAATATGATGCCTATTTTTAGAGTGAGAGGAGTTAATGGAGGCTCCAGGAAACTTTAACTTATTAGTTTGAGTTGTGTTATTAGCAGGGAAACCAATTTTAGAAGGTATTTGGAAAAGTATTTGGTTTATTGATAGTTTTCTGAATGTCAGAATGATTTTAGAAAAGGGTTTCTTGTTTTATAAAGTTGTTCAAATTTTTATAGAACTTTCTCTTTTTTAAATGAGGGAAATTTTGGTAAAGTTCTATATAAGAGGGTAATTAGCAACTGACATTTGTGCAGAAGCTAATAATTAATAGAGAATTGGCTTTGTGATGAAAAGCAAAGAAGTTTTAAATTGATTTTTTTTCTTTTTAGAAAGATGTGACTAGTAGGGTACATTTTCAGCATTCTTTATTATTGTTATTATTTACTATAGTACTACAAAATGAGAACTTTTGTTAAGACACCAAAATTACTCAACATAAAAGTAAATTTGGTACATATCTAGGAAAAGTTAATACTTGTTTTTACAGAGAAGAGCACTAAAAGGTTTAATCTATTCTTAATAAGAATAGTGGCAAATAGGAATATTCTATGATTCCAAGTGTTTTAAAACTCAAATTAATGAAGTCGACACAAATAAATTAATGAAACCCAACAGTTATTTCAATCAAAATTATAAAAAGAAATCTGTTATAAGTTTATAAAATGTAATTTTAAGAAATCAAGAAGTCTAAATAAAATTAAGTTTCAAACCACTTGTGCAGCATTGCAAATAAACCATACTTTAGTTGTCTAAAATTTCTAAATAAAGTGTGTTTCAAGTCTTAAAATTTGTGGATTATGTATTTGATTTAAATACTGAATCTTATACTATTATTTTTTTGCTGTAATTGGTGATCTGTGTATGTGCAAGTTTGTAGTCTTGATAATGTTTTCATGCATGTTATATTCTGAGTATATATTTTGGAATCAGTGCCAGTCTTGCAAGAATTTCTACTTGCCTTGGAGTCTTTAAAAATGCTGTTAAAAATTCATAAATGATTTATATAAAATACATGTATAAGCACTGATTTTTGTACAACTATTTTAAAATGAAATATTTAAAATATATTGCTTGATATATTATTATTTTCTGTTGATATATTTATTAAAACATTTTCGTGAAAGTTTTGACATTCATTAAATGTTT